TAGAGTTGGGGGGTAACGGGTCCATGGCTCTGCAACACCATTTCCGCTGCCTCGTCCTGAAGGCACCCCACATGATGCACTGAGAGTATCTGGGTTATTCCTTCTAGAACTGGACTAGCTGACGTGGAAAGAAGGCAGGGATTCCATAACGGGGCCATGTGGAGGAGGATTCCAAGCCCTCAAAGTGTTGGGTGGGAGAGAGGAAGCCAGTTCCGGTATGGTGAGTCGGGTCCCTTTTCACACTGAGCCGCGCCTTAGGTTTGCATCAATAGTTGAGACTCAATTATAGAATGAAGTCCACCATAGTCTCCACTTTCCTTTTTCCTCTTAAAACATAGACCACAATACACATACACCTCTCTCTCTCTCTCTCTCTCTCTCTACATTTTTATACTAAATAAAAAATACGGGTAGTTCCATTGCTCAATATTGACATAGAGCTGTAATTTTGTTGAAATTACTGAAGAGGCAATAGAAAATTCCCAACCACCGCCTTCCTTGTGCCAACAATATTCCATTCATCAAGTGTCCCACTGGACCACTTAATCTTTTCAAGGGTTAGAAAAAAGTTATCCATGTGGTAACAAGATAGAAAGATAGAGACAGAAAAAAATAAAATAAAAAGATACAGTGGGGAAAAAAAGGGTCCCAAGGTGCAGTTCGAGATCGCAGTAACTTTTTTCCGGGAGAGTGGAGGGCATTGGTAGAATGACGTCAAAGAAGTCACCGTGGTAAAAAAATACCAATGTGGACACTGAAGTAAATAAGTAGGAGAGAGAGAGAGAAAGAAAGAATGAAAGAAAGAAAGAGAGGGAAAGAGTGGAAATCGGGCCCACTTTGGGTTTAGGGTGGTCCTGGCTCATCACTCTCCCCACTCTATTCCACACTCAAGTAGGTTCCGTTGACCTCGCCCTAAAAGTGTAGGAAGCTTCCGTGCAGCCCAAGGCGCACCTTCAGTGCTCCATCCTTGAAGCTCAGGACCCTCTACCGCGAGGAAAATCCACAGTGCTGACATGGCAGTCCCTTATGCTTTAGGAGGGTTGAATATGTGAGGCGTGGGAAATTCTAGGCTAGTGGAAAACTAATCCTGTGATTTCTTAACATGTAGGGTGAAAGATGTAGTATCTTTGTATATATTTGTAGGCATGGTTGGACACAATTGATGTAGTATATATAAAATGAAATTTGGTTGTGTCATACTTGAGGAAGCTTGTTTTGGTTAAATTTGGTGGTGTTGGTTTCAAGAATAAAAAGATTAATCTAATAGCAAGTTACACAAAATATGTAAAAAGAACAGTACAATTATGTGTAAGTTTGTTGCTCAATGTGGATGATTAGCCCAGAAATGTTATAACTTTCAATTTCTATACGTGAAAAAAGCTTTAAATAGCTTATGAAGAGGTTTATAACTCTAAATTTTAAAATGTTTTTTTTGTTTTTTTTGTTTTGTTTTTTTTTTTATAAGATACAATTCTATGTATAAAACGTCAATTTTTTATTTTTAATATGTATTTCATACTATGATACAATAATAATAATTAATATTTATAATACTATTTATGTACAACTTATTTGGTTGTGTATTTAATTAAATATTGATAACATGGTTTTGAATAAAAATCTTCTAGTTTTCGTTCATATTTTCATGAGACTATTAGAATAGATTTATTATAATGATGATCAAGGTTTTAAAAAGTACACTCATGAAAACTTTTTTTGAAAAAATTTAAAAAAAAAATGATCCAAGAATATAAAAAAGTAATATTTCTTTAAATTTTATAAAATTTAACACATACTTGAATACAGAGTAAATAAAACTATATTTTTTAGGCTAGATCTAAGTAATCAAGAATGGAAGATATATATATATATATATATATATATATATATATAATTTTTTCTGCTTACATTAATATTTATAAAATATAATTTAAGTTTTCATACTATTTTATTTTAGATTTAATGATTTTTGAATATTTCAAAAGTGAAAAAAATTAAATTTTCCTATAAAACATGCTTTAAAGATTTTAAAAATGTATATATTATTCCTAATATTTTAAAAATATACTATGCAAAACAATACTTATCATCTATTTTAACAAAAAATCCTATAAACATTATAATAAATATAATTTAATTCAATTATAAACTATTTAAGTATTTTAAATTTCTTAACTTTTTAAAAATAATGATAGTGTAGTAAATACAGTCTGATCAAGATCTTTGATCCTTCAACTATTCTAAGTAATCTTTGAATTTTATCAATTATGTTGATTATACTTATACAAATATAAGATCTTCATCTGCTTTTATATTACACCATTTGATCAACTATTATTTTAGTATCTTAGTTGTATAATATAAATCACTAACTCATAAACCTATATATATATATATATATATGTATAATAAATACTATACTAAATACTATGACAAATCATATTGTAACAAGTACCAAGATCAACTCATTTGAAAGTACATGAATAAAAAATTAGGTGCAATACACTTCAATAATGATGCTTCAAATTAACAATCAACCTTGTATTCTATATTCAAAGTTATTTGTGGTGGAAGTAAGGAATTGACATTTGTTGTAATCTTCTATTAAAAGTAAAAGTTTAATATGCTTATGTTTTGATTTAACTAAATAGGATAGTTCACATTTTTTATTATTTAAATAAAAATATCATTTTGAATACTTTTTAAATTTCTTATGTATATATATATATATTACAGATTACTGTTAAATCTTTATAAATATATGGATTAATTTTTATAACATTGTAAGAAATCTCATTTTTATAATTGTACTAGTCAAGTTTTATTTTTAAATATACCTAATTTTATATTCTCTATATTGTAAAAAAATGAATGTTTATACTTGTATCACTAAAACAGTGTAATACTTTTGTTACATGACATGGGAACAATAAATACTTAGATACTTTTGTTATGCTAGGTACATTGTGATTGCAAAAATCATATATCTCATTATTATATGAATTTTATTTTTAAAGTTATTTTTTTTAAAAAATAAATTTAAAAACATATAACTCTTATTTTATTTTTACATGTTATAACTAATTTTTTTGAAAGTTGCATTTAAAAATAAAAATAAAAATGTAAAATAGAATGTTCAACTTGATTTCAAAAGTATGATTTAGATCATTGAATTGGTGATTATACACATAAAACGATACTTTTTTAATTCTAAGTTTAAATATGTCAAACATATTACATCTTAAATCATTCAATCTGTATACATCATATTACAAAGATTACTTATTTATTTATTTATTTTTCTTTTTTAATTATTCAAATATTAGATACTTTTTCCTTTTCTTTTTCTACACTAATGCAATTATAATTTCAATTATTGCATTGAGATATTTTCACAATTTATGTTGACATATGAAATATTGATAAAAATTATAATGATTTTGATTCAAATTAGATAGTAATATTGCATTGATTTTGTTTCAAAAAAATATATATATATGTATATATATATATATATATATATATGACATAAAAGTAATTTTTTACTCCTAATATTTTGAGCGATACTTTAAAAAAATAATGCTTATAAGGATATAAAAAATATTAAACACAACTCTTCAGAAACATACACACAGGTTTAAGTTTATCAATATATTAAAATTATATTTAAAATGTGGCATTTCATAATAAGCATTACAAGTGTTTTGGATAATAGTACTATATTTTCACTTTATATTTTTAGTTATAGATTATTTAAAAAAATTGTTTTGAAGTTGCTATTAAGTTCCCTGTACATACATTACACTAGTATCTTAAAGTTTAGTAAAACTAGAAAAGTATATATTTTTTTATTAAAAACTATTCTTTAAACATGTACAATATGTTCTCTTCTTTATTTCAATACTAATCATTATGGATCTTAGTGTTTGGAATTCTATTTGTGTTTCAAAATTAATAAGTATTCTACTTGCTTTTTATTAACAATAATATATTTAATTTTCATTTTAAGCAAATGAAAAAACTCGAAATAAAATTAGTGATAGATTTATTACTATCATCATTATTATAGAATGTAATAGTTATTAGATCTATCTCAATTAAAATTAAATCCTTTCTAAATGATACGGTTATTATTTTGTGTTATCTTAATACATTATTTTAAAAATATTTTAGTAAAAACAAATTAAGTCTACACTTATTGTGTAGAATATGATTAATTTTGTTCCTTTTATTTTGACTTTCTTGATTTGCAATAGTAAATATTTACTTACTATACATATATGCTCAATAATTTGATAAGATTAATTAAATAAATATTTATAGTAAAAAAACATTGGTAATTAATTTACTTTACGAATCATTATACATTTTATTACTAAATTAGATCACCTACTAAGTGAAAATTGATTGGGCCGCACAAAGGTGAGAACTTTGAATGTATACCATATATAGAAATAAACCACGGATCCTTGTGATGAACATGCGAAACCATGTATTTTTAGCACAGAGCTGGTCGTTGTAAAGTCCAATTAAGCTTCAGTTTTGGGTACTTCTAGTCCAGAAAGCAACAACAAATTTGGGCTTCTTGTCACTTGGTTATCTATCTCCCTTTGCTGTTTTGTTCTCATTGAAAACTGTTCCTCCCTCACTGCCTTCCTTCCTTCCTCCCTTTCCGCACAAAATGATTCCTTACATTTAACACCATAATAAATAAATAAATAAAGAAAAGGATATTAGAGAAGGATTACAGTGAAATGTGCAGAAATGTGCTCCGAGTCGCTGAAATCTAAATGACATAAACAAGGGGGCCCGGTCCTTGTCTGGAAAGGGCTTTGGAGGGTAGGCAGTCGACCTGAGGGGTTATCGATGCGCGTGGAGTAGTGTGGGGCAAACTAACATTTAGATGTACGCGGGGTGCATAACAGATTATCCCTCTCTGGGACCACAACCCTTGTTGATTCCTCTGCAAGTTACCATAATTCTCGGCAAGTCATGGGTCGTACCACGTAGGGACTAGATTATTTACTGCGTCGCTGCCTTCAAGAGAATACTGGCTGGAGGCCAGTGGCAGGGTTATCCAAATTTGTAGCCCTCCTTGGCACAGTTGGGATGGTGCATAAAGAATGGAACATACAGTTGGGAACGAGATTGACGTTGCGAATCTGCAGACTGCGTTCGGAGTATTATTTAGGGGTTGTTGTGTGCGCTGGACCAATATCTCTGTGGCTGCGGGAAGTGGCAGTTTCCAGCTGCCTTGCTGTAGACTCATCAAGAGCGAGCAGGGTGGTTGTATGAGGGATGTGAGAAGGTCGTCGTCAGATATATCTGTGCTACTGTTGAGGCGGCACTGGGCGAGTTTCTTTTTTCTTTTTTCTTTTTTTTCTTTCTTTTTGCATTTCGCGAATCTAGCAGCGATCAACATGACAGAGATTGCGATGGGTATGGCCCGTCAGCAGCAGCAGCAGCAGCACTCTGCTAGCGCGACGTCGTCGTGTGTGCCGGTCTTTGACAAGCAGGAGGAAGACCAGACACCGCTGGTGGTACCTGAACAACTGGAGGCCCATCACGATCATGTGGATTCGAATTCGGACACAAATAGTAGCGCCTCGGATGTGGACTCGAAGACGGGAGTGGCTACTGCAGACACCAAGACTCGTGGGAGGAAGAAGAAGGGTACTGCGGCATCTTCTTCTTCGGGGTCTGGAAATGGGCAGGAGCGAGTGCGCAAAAGACGAGGGGGTCCAGAGAATGGATTGCATCAGTACCGAGGAGTGAGGCAGCGACAGTGGGGTCGATGGGTTGCAGAGATTCGCGAGCCGAGATTGAGGACGCGCATGTGGTTAGGGACATTTAGTACCGCTTTAGAGGCCGCGAGAGCATACGACGAAGCTGCACTTGTTTACCATGGTCCTGGAGCGAGGCTTAATCTGCCACATGAGACGACACAAAAATCAGAGAACGTTCCGCAGCTAGGCAATCAAGGGGTGGAATATCATTACGGACATTTGAAAACGAACAAGTTTATGGGTCTGGGAGTTCCTGCTAACCTTCTCATAGGAAGCGATGTGGCAAGTACGGATAAATATTTCATGAGTGTTGACACATCGCGATTACGTCAATCGTCCTCCTGCAGTGTGGAAAATATTGGGCAACCTGCTGGGTTTAATTTAAACCGCGATCCAGAGTGGTGGATTTCTTGTGGCAGTTTTCGTCCAAACTCTATACCCCAATCAGTTCCAAACTTTTCCAACGTACCTCCCTCGACGTCATCGTGTAATGTTGGCTCTGAGCGTTTTCATCTGTCCCAAGTGCCAATCAATTTTCAGACGATTCCAATCTCATGTAAATTGCCACCTGATCGACATGAGCTTGTGCAAGGCTTTCCAGTTCCCCAACAGCTGTCTGCTGGATTGTTTCATAGCAAATACACTCAAACTTTGGGCCTTCGGTCTCCTAATATTCATTGTGAGCTCGGCTCGGATTGTCCTTACGCAGACAGGCAGGGAAGAGGCTTGCATCGGAATGACACGCACAATACGGGAGCTGTGATGTTTGCGAAGAGTAGTACCACTCAGACTGATTCTTTCTTTGAATCAAACCAGAATGAGCCGTTGAAAGTTCCTATTGGTGATGCATCTCCAGACATGGCTCCTACTTTCACAGCAACACCACATCAGCCTGAGCAGCCTGTGGCGGTCCTTGTACCTGGTGAGAGCACTGCAATGTTCAACCCACCTCCTCCAAGCGACGTATCTTGTCAATACTGCTCCAACGTTGAAGCTCCTAAGAAATTCGAGTGTCCCATTTCAGAGGGTTCTGCTGAAAACTCGTTTGTGACTGAGTTCGAAAAATTCGACTTCGAGTCTGACGCGTTTCAGTCCATGGACAGCTCGATTGAGTCTCAACATGATAAACTTGTAAGTGGTGTGACGGCAGCAACTGCTGTTATGGACCACGGCCCACCCGTTTCATCTGAGGCCTCCCCAGTCAGTCTACAGGGCGCCGACTTTGGTGATGAAGGCTCGCCGAGCTCATTTTGGCCGGACAGCACCACCTCGAGCCACCAGTCACTCAACGCATCTGAGTCATGTCCATGGAGCAACATACAAGAGGAGCGTTACATGTTGAAACTTTGTCCAGTTTTCGAAGACATGAATGGATGTTGGGATGATGCGGGAAGTCCCATTCTTCCCCCGCCGTCCCTGCTCGATCTCCCAGACTTGCCCAACTTGTCATTTGATTCTCTGACAGAAGTTTTCTGCGACACACCCAAGGTGAACGACGTCGACAAGGCAGCAAACTTCCCCGACTTGTAGCCAACGTGAATTTTACCTTCAACATTCTTTTTTTATCCAATTTACTAATCGTTTTGTCACATTAGAACAGTAGATTCTATCTCGTCCGACAGTTAGCGAAGTAGAGAGACCTTAAGGTTGATGTAAAATACGCATATCCATTTTGACAGTTGCGCGCAAACACTGTACGTTAGAGCAAGCCTTCCAATTCTTCCATTTTAAATTTTTTCTTTCAGTCGCAGAAATGCAAAGACGCCTAGCAATGCGTTGCTAGGAGGGAAAGGCCCCGCCAGCGACTTACCCCCCAATTGGAAAGTGGTGGAGCTTTTATAGAAAGAACGGAGTCGACAGGGTAATTTAGTTTTGCGAGGAGTCTTATTATCAAGCCACTTCAAGGAAAGAGAAAGACTTTCTTTTTTTCCTTCTTGTCCTTCTTATCGAGGTTAGTTTCGAAGGGAAGGAGCTCACTCTGCTGTTTAGGTTGTCACCAATCTCTGGATTAGTTCAAAAAGTTGCCTTTGATCCAGCCATGGATCACCTGTTCATCAGTGTAATACAAAAACGTCTCATCACTCATAAATCACAATCCCTGCTGGACTTGCCCAACATGATCGATCACATTTGCGAAGACGAAAAAACGGTTGTGATATCAGGTAAGTTATTAACTGCAAATCTTGACATGTGTAGTGTACTCGTATAACAACACAGCATGCACACAGACACCTGAAGACTGCAGATATCGATGAGAAAACTCACAGTACGCCTTCGTTCCATGTCGACATGGCTCCTGCCTCCATTCCTGATCTGGATAAAGAGATATCCATTCACGACACACTACCTTTTCTGATTGACTCACCTGAGTATCAAAGATATCATTGTAGCAAGCGACCTCACGTGGATTTGGATCGTGACTGAGAGTGGTCCCGTCCCTAGGCGTGACAGACTTTGTCAAGCCCCGCTAGATCTCTCGCACAGATTGCTTGACGATGATGACCTTTCGTGCACTGCAACAGTGTTTTGGTGTCCAAGTCTTTACTAGCTCACACTCAAAGCTCCACTCTAGTGATACCGTAGGGCCCTTTCCATTCATGACGAGCTCGGCATGTGTTCGCTTTGATACTGTGAGGCAGATTTTAGAATTTTCACACATGTCCTGCATTCGTTGGTTGTAACTTAGATCTAACGTGGAAAATCGTCATTAATGGTTTGGGTACCTTTGCGCTTGACTAGTCATGGGCGTGTGCGTGTTAAACCCAGTTAGGGTTTGACATCTGATTGCCTCTTCAGAATAAGAACATCAGTAAGAATAATTGTAAGCACAACTTTCTCTTGGTAATCAAGATAAAATTACGGATTTGAGTATAATTAAAATTATCCAAAATAATAAAAATAAGATTCAACAAAATAGAGATAGAAGATATATGTATTCAATCAAGATGCTTCGCCTTGCCAAAAAAGATAAGAATGAAAAGTACTAAAGTTATCTTACCAAGAATACTTTCAAAACTGTCCACGAATTGAGACCTTTCACAATGTACAGTAAAGAAAAATTACCATGATATTTGTTGTATTGACGATGTAATCAATTTAGGGTTGTGTACATGAATTTGTGCGATTTTTTTATATTAAATAGCTATTAAAAGGTTGGTCTAGTGTAAATATACAACAAGCGTTGCATGTGGTAGGTATTACTCAACCCACTACATGATTAGACCCGCAAAGCCGTCTATAAAGCTCGCGTTACAGCTCACCGTCCATTGTGGCGTGTGGCAAGACCCTCTTTACAACTGAATTCTTTGGTGTCACGTGTTCCTATTTTGTGAAGAGGAAATTTTTTATTCCACAGATCGAGAAGTTCACACGGTCACGGAGCGCTGTAACGCGCGCTTGACATCGTGAACTGACGGAGGGAATCAGCAGGGAACACGAAGGGAACTAGAAGGGCACACGAAGGGAACCTAAACTGCAGGGCAGCTCCGAAGCTGTGTCTGGAGGACTTTGCAAGCGGAGACGCAACAGCGGAAATGGCACAGTCCGTCCTGTTTTGAGACCACGATTGCTATCGTTCCAGACGTTTGTAAGCTGCTAAGTGTGCCGGTTATTGAAGAGCACGAGTTCATGCGCAGGTGAGACAATGCGTGCCTTTTTCGGCTTCTAATTGAGTGAGAACTCGACTTTCTTCGAAGCTTATTTGTAATGTGATTTGGTTTCAGTTCTGGTTTGTTGAATTCCTCCCGTAGGCTCTCTCGATCGGAGCGACTTTGATCACTAATTGGATTAATGATTCAAAAATATCATTCGAGGAAAATTCATGTGATAATGTAGAGAGGTTTGCCAGAGACAAGTTAAGAAATCCTGAAAGTTGGATTGAGGACAGTGTTTTTAACTAATTCGGGATTTGTATAGTTTTTAGCATACGTGAGGAGATCAGGACAGTAATCCCTGTATTTACTCGTGCTCGAAACCTGTGAGACCACTTGTTTGAACGTAACTCATATGTCGTCAAGTTTCGAAAAAGTTATTCGTATTATTATTATTATTATTATTATTATTTCTGGTCTTAGATTTGATCGTATTTGTAGGTTGATCGTTATGATTCACTCTTCGTGCGCCTGCACATTAGCTGGATCCTACTGTTTAGATTCATCATCCATCATTTGCTTCTGCTGCAAATTAATTATCTGTGGTTAGTCCTAGCTAGTTTGGGAGCTTCTGCATTGTTAATTGGTCTTGCTCAGCTAGTGACAATATTTTATGTTCTAAAGTAAATTTTTAAGTGATTGGATTTATTGTCGCTGAACCTTTGCATAAATCGGGTTTTATACATAAATATAAATTTGAAGCTGAATTTTTTAAAAAGCCTAGTAAGGATAGACAGGACGTGTTGTGAATTTATAGCGTTTGAGACACCACATATCTTTCGAGCATAAGTAGCATTAAGTACATGGTATCTCATTCGAGACGCATAAACAGGTTTGAATTAGTCCTTTCTAATATCTTCCATGATGGCGCAACATGTTCATCCAAAATGTTAACTAGGTTAGCTTGCATTCTGATGTGTCATCTGCAGTTGTTTTCACATTGTTTGCTGCTTCTTTTAAATATTGATACCGCCACTTTTTTTTTTTGTGTCATCGCTGAGTTTATTTATGCCAGATATGATGTGAGAGGAGCTAATGAGGACGAAGAAGAATGGCAATACGGCGGCTTTAGAGCAAGCACAAACGTCTTCTGCATGGTCCTCTCACTTGTCAATTAAAGTGTTCTATCGAGGGTGTGGATGGTCTCAAGGTTCTCTCGCCCCGAAGAAACTGAATTCTACCACCATTTTGTCATTAGTATGGGAACATTAATTTCTTTACCAGTACATGATTCTGGGTGTATAAATCAATACTAGTGAAATGGCATTGTGATTGTTCCTAATTATTGCAAACAAGAGCTAAATTTCGAGATGCAGCATAATTGTTTTCGTAGTCATGACCCACTGAGCACGTCCAACTCCACTTGTTAACAGAGCTAGAGACTTGATTTTGATTGCCTATGTAGCTATGTTGGCAGCTGATTAAGTCTGTTATCTACGATACTCGTAAAAGTTCCCAGCCTTGCATTGGTGTTTCCTTAATTTTGTTTAGAGTTCTCTTTGACGCGTGCTATAGGATAATATGCACTGACTCTTTTCTGCTGCTGGATTTTGATAGCCGAAAAAGTGAAGATTTGAAGAAACGATCATGGTGTCTACTTTCCATCATCAACCACTACAACGCCTTCTCAACCCTCTACTGCGTTCAACCCCACAATATGATCGCACTTGTGTAATCTGTGACATGACATCACAACTTGACATTGTCTGTCAGGTTCCCTGGCCATATATTTGATCCTTTCAAAATTTGTTGATCATGCCTGCAACATTAAAGCTGCTTAGCATTGTTTAAAAGCAACCAACATTGGTTGGACGCATTTTCGATGATGATAAAAAAGCAGTTCTTCAATTCTGGTGTGAACTTCTCGAAGTACTTGTACGTGGTATGTCTTTTCCGGAATTTTCTAATTCTGGGTTCAGTGCCAAGTATTTATGTTCATTGAATCTTCTAGTTGAATTGCTGCAGCAGTTAATCGACCACGGTTGCATTGTCGCCGATCTCAATATGCAGCTGTTTCATTTTTGTGGTTCTATTTACAGATTTCATACCACCCTGCATGGCATGCACATTGTTTACGTGTTGACTTATTTAGGGGATGAGCATTAAACACATTGTTAGAATCAGATGGAACAGAAATTCTATTTCAAATCTGCATTTTCCTGCACTGTCATTCTGAAGTTGAGGCTATGCCTGCATATTCCAACATCTGTGTCTTTGTGGAATCTGGATGACTTCGACAATATAATTGACCGGTTTCACTGCTTTTGTGTTTCTCTTGAATGCTCAGCTTTATTACTGAATCCAAGCCAGGAATTTGTCTGAATCTATTTAAACAGGTGATCTCAACCAATATGCTCTGTATTTTATCTCCTCAAGCTCATGAAGTAGTACGAGATTTATATGATCAGTATGGAATGGTTAGCGCACCCATTAAGAAATGTTTTGAGGCAGTAGGATGTTCTTGGGAGAAGTCCAAGCGCATTATGGGTGGTTAAGAATGTGGTGGTGCTCTAGACGATTGCCATCTCCTACGGCCCTGGTAAGCTTATATCTAGCTCATGTTTAATCTTAACTTGGCTCAAGCTACTTGTGATTGCGTTGAATCCGAAGACCTAAGCCAGGAAAATTCCAAGGTGCGCGTCGCTGTTGCCATGACACTCTGATCGTTTTCTCAAGTTTTTCTTTGTTTGCGTCAACAAATGAGCTATTAGATGAACGGCCTCTGAAGCTCAGCATTTATTATTAATTAGGGCTCTAAATTTGTTACTAGAGTTCACCTTATTTCCTAAAACGGCATTCCTCTTGCTACTTGGCATCTCTTGGCAACAGATACATGTGCACATTTAGAGCAGATGCATATAAGGTTATTACCAATGTGTTAACGTAGTTTTCTATTGTGGAACACGATCTGTATATAATTGAACGCCATTGTAACTTATTTGAGTAGAATAGAAGCCGACTTGAGATATGTGTACTATGGACGCTGGGAAGCTCAGGTAACAATTGTTATACCAGAAATTTGTTAGTTTTTTTTTTGTAATAAATTATACTAATTGATTAAATTTTAAATTTTAAAACTACAATAAAATTCTCTAGATCAGAAGGATTGCGCGCTCTTGACGAATTCTTGCTCAAGTATGTAACTCCTGCTGGTCAGAATATTTATTTCACAGGGGTGAAATCTTCGGCTTGTGAATGAGCTTGGCACTCATTTGACTGATCATCCCTGCATCAGGTAGAGGAGCTCTAGACATTGCTCAGAAAGCAACTTAAGTTAAATGGTAAAAATCCTACTGGTTTAGCACATTGGACTCGGTGACGGTTGCAATGTAATGGAATGTGTTCGACCGAAATGTTTTGAATAGTACTCTAGAACCACGCTTAAAATACGTATAGGTAATTTTTCATGGGACTAACATTTCCCTTTACTATGCGAACATTAGTTAGCTCACTTCCTTAGTGATG